CATCCTGGCTAAAACCAGGACATTTGCATTTTTAAAGAAAAAAAGTAAACATCTCAGATGTGCAAATTGAGATGTCAAACCTGTAGCAGAAAGAATCATTCTAGTAAAGTAATAGCACAGCTAGTATTATTTGCTATAGAAGTTAGGGAGGGAAGCTTTGCCCATAACTTATCTTTTATTATGATTCATTTCAAACATGGTGCAATATAAAAAATCTTCCTGGAGAGTAAAGGCAGAAAATGTTAGGAAAAGACAAGTTCCAGTTAACTGGACATGACTGGAATATAAAAATCTTATGTCCTTCTTCTGAGGATGTTGGGGGAGGGGGGGAAGGAGGAGGATAAAAGGGTAATGCTGAAATGTTTGAAGTCCCTTTCTGCATCTTTTTTTTTCCCTCCAACTCCCCCAAAGGACTTCCTTTGTCTTTTAGCATTTAGAGCAGAATAGTCTTTATCTTTTTTTATATGTGTGTATATATATATATTTTTTATTCTAAGATGACCTCATCAGGGTAAAGGAAAATTAAGTGCTCAAAAGCTCTATATTCAGAACTCTAAATTGAAACATTTAACTATTGTACTTAAGGCAAAACAAACTACAAAAGCACTCAGTTATAGCTAAACTACTAAGATACCAGTGAAGTAAATAATACACAGTTATTTACAGAATACAATGTCCAAAACAATTATTGAATGGTATTAATGCTAATTTTTTTTTTGTGGTCTTAATTTGACCTTAAAAGGGCATGCTTTATTCCGCACTTGAAAATGGCCTCTTAAGTCTAAAGGAAATGTATACTCTGACATTTTCTAGCACAATTCTTTAATTGATTCTTAAAACTTCTACAAAACTACTGTTGTATGAATTGGAGATGATATTTTCTCCCAACTTTTAATCTTACATTTTTCTGTGATATGGAAACTTTGCAAATAAGTTATGCTTATTATTATGCATTAAATATATAGTTCTACATCCTAATTCCAAATCTGATCAATTGCATCGTGGAATGAGATAAAAACTTTTTACTCAACTTTGACCTTTGTCCTGCACAGACCACTTGCTACCTCATTTGAAGGCAGACATGGCAGTGTGCGCTATTGGGTGAAAGCTGAATTGCATAGGCCTTGGCTTCTACCAGTAAAATTAAAGAAGGAATTTACAGTCTTTGAACATATAGATATCAACACTCCTTCATTACTGGTAAGAACCGACAGAATTACTCATTCCTTTTCTGGCATAAAAATAATGAAATATAAGAACTGAAACAACATCAGCATGTAGCTTTACCTAATATTTATTTGCTAGTTTAAGTACAGCTCTTTTTTTGAGTATTATATCAGTTTAACAACTCTTTAACTGCTGGCATTTTGAAAGCTAAGTTATCCCGTACTTGGTGTTGCTTGATTTTTACAAGACATAAAAAATGCATTTGTCAATCTAAACTGATACTACTAAATTGTAGACTCTCATTGAGGAAGAAAATTTGGTGAACTGTTCCTCTTCAATTATGAATATAATATAAATATCCTTTCCTGAAATTTCATTTTATATTATTAACTTCAATATCACAACTGCTTTTAGTGAGGATTTGATTTCAGTCTGGCCTAAAAATCCTTTATTTTATCCCTTTCTCAAATTTTAATCTAGGGGGGAAAAATAATTAGAAGTCCATTGAAACAGGTTTCTTGTGCTTATGGGTGAAAAATCAGCTTGGAAAGGGACCTTGTACAAACTCTACGAAAATCAAAGGTCTCTCATTTGACTTTAATGGGCTTTGGATAAAGCCTTAAATCCTGGTGGTGTGTAAAATAAGTCATTTTAATATAGGTGAAACAGGATCGTTCAAAAACCGAGGAAATAGCAGGAGTCAAAATTACAGTAGTTTAGCTTAGTTATTTTGTTTCTGAAATGCAGCTTAATAGAAAGTGTGAAGGTGTTCTAATTTACTGTTAGTTAAATTAAAAGCTCTGCAGCATTATGTTGGAATGTGTAGGCTAAGAAGCCTTTTGTTTTAAGCTATACAGTATTTTTTAAAGTATTGTTTTAATTGTGGCTGTAGTATGGAGAACTGCAGAAAAAGCAATATTAATACAGCAGTGGAATTAGGACAAACTGTATCTGTATAATGCTGTTTAAATTTCTTGATACTTTTCATGTGAAAGTAGCTTTATCAAAATATGTAATAATAAGCACATTATGAAAATTATTTTCCTGTCTTGATATAAATGCCTGAAGAGATTCGTGGAGCTCCTAATTTGATGGACAATACTTTTCCTCTTCTTGCAGTCACCCCAAGCAGGCACAAAAGAAAAGACTCTATGCTGTTGGCTTTGTACCTCAGGCCCAATATCTTTAAGTGCCAAAATTGAAAGAAAGGGCTACACTCCAGGTATGTGATAGAATTAATTATAGGATATGTTATTTCCTTCCTTTTTAAAGCTAGAGTCTGTACTTACTGTTTTTATATAAATGAAACATTAAGGATATTTTTACCACATCAGTCTGCATTTAGCAATCTTCTCAGTATACTCTGTTAACTAAGACAGGGCTACTTGCATCTCTGGATTGTTCAAGGACCTCATCTTTTAGGCTGGTATGTTTTAGATGTTAGACTGTTTTGGGGGTTTTTTTGTGTGTGATGTTTGTTTTCTTTTTCCTTTTATAACAGCTCTTTGGGATTTTGTTTCTATTAGCATTGGTGGATTTTTTTTTCAGGTAGAGCAGTGATAGCAGCATCATTATAACAGTATAGAGAATGATGGTTTGCTTAGACTGCCTTGTAAATGTAAAGAGAACTTGAAATTCTTGTGGTTTTTGTTTGGTGGTTTTTGGTTGTTTTTTTTTTAAAAAAATTTCAGGTGAATCAATTCAGATCTTTGCTGAGATTGAGAATTGTTCGTCCCGGATGGTGGTGCCAAAGGCAACCATTTACCAAACACAGGCATTCTATGCCAAAGGAAAAATGAAGGAAGTGAAGCAGCTTGTTGCCAACCTCCGTGGGGAATCCTTGTCATCTGGAAAAACAGAAACCTGGAATGGCAAACAGTTGAAAATTCCACCTGTTTCCCCTTCAATCCTTGACTGTAGTATAATCCGTGTGGAGTATTCACTGATGGTATGTTGGGTGGTCTTTTTCACTCACAAGAGTGAGTAGCTTCCAACATGCTGTACAAATTTCTAGCACAGCATTTTGTGACCATTAGTTATGAAAGAAATACATATTCTGGTATTAGTGTTGTAACAGATCTGTTAAGTAAATTTAGTTTAAATCATGCAAGTTCTTAAAGCAGTTGTCTGTCAACTAAGCAAGCATTTAATGAGTAGACTGCATTTCCATGTGAGGGTTCATGTTAAGACTCTTCTTAACTTGAAGAGCTCATGTCTTCACAGGGGCATGGGCCCTAAAAGGGACTATTAGAAACAAGCTCCTCATGAAAACTTTCATAGAAAGATAACTTAGACTAATACTTATGAAGTGCTGATAAACACACACACATTTTAATCATGCACTTGTTTCATTTTTCTTCAGGTATATGTTGATATTCCAGGAGCCATGGATTTATTCCTTAACTTACCACTGGTCATTGGTACCATTCCTCTACATCCATTTGGTAGCAGAACATCAAGTGTAAGCAGCCAGGGTAGCATGAACATGAATTGGCTTGGTCTGACACTGCCTGAAAGACTAGAAGGTAACTTGATAATACAAATCCCAATCAATTTGCTAGTCTGTTTTGACTTTTGTCCGCTTTATTCATTATAGTCGTGCTAACAGAGTTGAATTACATCTGTTTATAATAAAGCTCATAGGAAATCTGTTGTAGATATTTTCTTGCCAGCTGCTTGTTCTGTGTAGAACACCAGAGTTTCTTCCCTCCCTGCCTTTCTGTCTCTAGGACAGACAGTGAAATCTAGCTGCTTTGAAAAGTGGCAGAAATGAAATCACAGGATACACAACTTCATCTGTGTATCTGTGCACAACTTCATTACTTCCACCTTCAGTATCCCAATTGCATCCTTGGTTGTAAGGCATTGCAACCCATAATAGCAGTTTCCGGGGTCTCTCAGTGGCCTTAGTAGCCAGGCTTTGTGAAAAGATAATATTCTTTTCTATAGGAAATCTCTTATGGCCAAAGAAAGAATTATATATTTTCTTCCTTCTCGTTTTGCATATCTAATATCCTGCCTTTTTTTTTTAAAGTACAAATCCTTAAGTACAAGACCTGGAGACTTTTGGAGTACAGAGGACTGCAATGTTCTGGCATTCCTACCTGTACAGGAATAAATTATCTTTGGTGTGATTTAAATTTTAAGGGGATAATTAAGCTACAATAAACAGTGGTTGGTCTGGTTTTGAACATAAGGTTAATATTAGAATAAAACAAAATAGTCTCCCTTTTTTGTTTAACAATTTTTAAGTCATCATTTATCTGCTGGTGAATCTTTCAGTTATTGAAGTTTGAGATTTATTATGTTATATATTTTGTCATGCATAAGAACTTGTTGTTTGAACTGTATGTACCCTCTCCCTTCAGCACCTCCTAGCTATGCAGAAGTGGTCACGGAGGAAAACAGACCGTCTGGCCTTGCATCTGTAGCTGCTTTTGATGATTTTCAGAGAGCACTGCAAGGACCTTTATTTGCATACATCCAGGAGTTCCGTTTTCTGCCTCCTCCCCTATATTCAGAAGTAAGTATATCTGTCAGAATATGATAATTTATATATTGTTTCTGACTGATTTTTTTGGGCTTTTTTTGTTTATGGAATAAGTTTAGAAAGCTGTTTCTCCTTCCTAAAATTGGAAGAAATCATTAAAATGATGAACATGGAATAAGTTGGTTTTGAGGAGGATTTTTGTTTGTTTGCAAGATGCAGTGCATCAAGAGTTTTTGCCATGCCTATTTGATACCATGGGTTACCCTTTTTGCATTTTGTAAAAAATTTTTGACATGAACTCTGCAGCCTTAAATTTTGAAAGGTGCTCCGTGAGGTGCCTTGGCTTCTCTATCATGCTATTTCCTGGAGCTGCAGACCGTTGGTTTTGAGGAGGATTTTTGTTTGTTTGCAAGATGCAGTGCATCAAGAGTTTTTGCCATGCCTATTTGATACCATGGGTTACCCTTTTTGCATTTTGTAAAAAATTTTTGACATGAACTCTGCAGCCTTAAATTTTGAAAGGTGCTCCGTGAGGTGCCTTGGCTTCTCTATCATGCTATTTCCTGGAGCTGCAGACCTAGGATTTTCCTTGTTTTTTCTTTCCTAGTCTAATACTTTCTGGAAAATTTCCAAGTGTTGTTTGCCATTTTAGCAACTTAATTTTTTAACATTTGTGTATTAAAAGTAAAGTAAGGTTTCAACTCTTTCATCTTTACTGCTTCCTAAAATTTTATAGCAACCATTAAACTGGTTTGCCTGCATGTGTGTTTAAATTCTGTGGATGTAGGGCTTTCAGAAGCTTCATGTAGAAAAGTGATATATTGGTATTAATTTCTGACTAAAGTTTTCTGAAGTACACAGTTCTTCAACAGTTTTGGCCTTTACAGAACTAAAAATGTATACAGGACAAATAAAAAAAGTGTCCCCTAGCCAACTCCCCCGCCCCAGCTTGAAACAAAAAAAGGCTATATTTAGTTAACTGATGCAATGTTGTTGAAAAGATGCAGTTAGCAGGCTGTACCCTTTCTTTCTCCTATAGAGAGGAAGAAGATTAAGGTTTAGAACACATGAACTTTTTGAAACATCTCATAGGATATTTGAGGATTAACTACTTTAATTTACAAATAGAATGACTTTTTTATTGATAACTTTCTTCCTTTTCAAGCAAAACTTCTCTGCTTCTCTCAATGAAATATTTCTTAAATTGTTTCTAGTAATATGTGTCAAGTCATCTTGTATATATCAGATAATTCAAAAGACTTCTGTATGAGTAAAGGAGAAATTTTTTGAGTTTTATAATAGCTATTCATGCTTATCCTTAAATTACCATCAACCTGTAGTTTAAAGTCTTCCACTGTATCTAATATTTCTCTTACTGTTTATCCAAAGTTTTGTCTAATTAGAAGTTTTTCAATAACCTTTGGACTGCAAATGCCACATATAAATATAATTGTCTTAAACTTGTGAATTTTGATTTTTATTTCTAGTAGTTGATTCTAAAATGCCCTGGGTTGTTGTGGCTTTCATTTTGGGGTTTGGTTTGTTTTGTTCTGGTTTTTTTTGTTGGTTGGTTGTTTTCTTTTGGTTAGATTGATCCAAACCCAGATCAGCCAACAGATGAGAGACCACCTTGCCCCTTTCATTGAAGGAATCCATAAAAAGCTGACTTGACTTGGTTTTGAATCACACCTGCTGTGTTGAAGATCAAGGTGTCATAGTGGAGACTTGCTTTTAAAGGAAATGGTATTGCTGTTGCCTGTACAGTGAATAAATGAAAAGAACCTGTTGATCATGTTTTGACACCTACAGCACATCATAGGACTGTTCCACATGCTTGAGAACCTGAGGCCTCCTCCCTTAAATAGTGGCACATACTATGAGCAGCCTTACTAGCATTCAGTCGTGTGTTTCAAAATACTCAAACCATGTTGTAAGAGAGGAATGGCTGCTTTTTATGATTCAATGAAAATTTGCACATGCTTATTGCTTATGTTATGCAGTTAAGTGTCACTACAGCTTATTCTCATTTATTGTTGTGACTGTTGTTACCCCCCCTCACCCCCCAATTGTGATCTGCACAACAAGGAACAAAAGAAAGCTTCGACAAAAAAAAGTGATGAAGGCTGACAAATGCCCTGACTTTTTTTTTTTTTTTTTTTTTTTTTTAAAATTAATTTGATGTAGCCTGGACTTTACCTGCATATGCACATGCTCAGAATTGTCCTAGTAGGCTGATCATGTATCACCTCTTCAGCTTGGATCCTCTTATGGATTTCTTTACGAACATCACATGCCTTCAAGTCAATCTTTGCTGTATATTTTGCAGCCAGCTGTAGTAGACAAGCAACAGATATGTGGGAATGGGGGAAGAGATAACAGAAGGAAACTAATAAGAGACTTTATCAAGATTGTATACCTTCTTGATTTCTTTTAAGAATTTATTGCCTTTCTGCTATTATTGCAAAGCAGTGTTTTGTTACAGACTGCCTAAAGGTCACTTAATCTCAGGTGAATTCATCACTTGCCAAACTGTTAGAATGTTATTTGTTTTGTTACATTGCACTGTTATTTATATTGTTTTGTGTTCATGTTTTGGTTTTGTTCTTCGAGGGGGATTTTGAATAGGAACATACACAAAACTTACAAAGTGAAAACAACACCAGCAGACACTACCAAAGTGTGAAAAGAACTTTAAAAGGGGATAGTCATATGCTGCCCTGGGCAGAGATATCTCAACTATTAGGGATGGAAAGGAGAAGGTTTGTTTGTTGGTTTGTTTCATTTTATTTAAATAATATGTTGTTACCTAATCACCAAAAATTATTTATAAAATGAGTCTCCAGTAGAAAGTATCCTTCAGATTGCAAGAAAAGTTTGAACTATGGCAACTAAGCAACAGCTCAGTTTGTGCATTTTGTATTCAGGGTTTATGATACTTGGTCACAGAATCATAGAATACTGGATTGGAAGGGACCTCAAGGATCATCTGGTCCAACCTTTCTTGGCAAAAGCATGGTCTAGACAAGATGACCCAGTACACTTAAAAAGTGTCCAATGTTAGGGAATCCACCACATCCCTGAGGAGATTATTCCAATGACTGACTGTTCTCATTGTGAAAGATTGTCCTCTTGTGTCCAATTGGAATCTCCCCAGGAGTAACTTGTAAAAAGGAAATCTCTGCTTTTCTTGTAGCCACCCTTTAAATACTAGAACATGGTGATAAGGTCTCCCCTAAGCCTTCTTTTCTCAAGACTGACCAAACCTGATTCTCTCAGCTTTTCATTGTATGGCAGGCTTCACAGTCATTGGATTATCTTTGTGGCCCTTCTCTGGGCCCTCTCTAGCTTGTCCACATCTTTTCTTGTAGAGCAAGGACCAAAACTGGACACTATTTCAGGTAAGGCCTGTCAAGTGCTGAGCAGAGTGGGATAATGACTTTTTCTCTGCTGGTGATGCCCTTGTTGATCCAACCCAGCATCCTGTTGCCTTTCTTTGCTGCAGCAGTACACCATTCGCCAAGGCCCTTTCCACAGAGCATCTCCTCAGACAGGTAGATCCCAGCCTGTGCTGCACTTTGGGATTATGTTTTCCAAGGTGCGAGACCTTATGTTTGTCTTTGTTGAACTTCACAAGGTTCTTGTTAGCCCCCTCTTCCAGCTTGTACAGGTCTTCCTGCAGGGTAGCTTTCCCTTCTGAAGTGTCCACTTCCCCACTCAGTTTGGTATCATTGGCAAACTTTGTCAGGATACACTTGATCCCATCCTCCATATCACTTGGGAAGATATTAAACAGTGTTGGGCCCAATATTCATCCCTGGGGGACCCCAGTTGTGGCAGGTTGCCCGTTTGAAAAGGAGTTATTTACCACCACCCTCTGGGTGTGGCCTGACAGACAGTTTCCCATGTGCTGCACAGACCACTTGTCTAGACTGTAATGTATCAGTTTCTCTAGGATGTGGCTGTGGGAAACGATATTGATAGCTTTGAAGAAAGCCAGGTAGACAATGTACACCACTTGCCCCACATCAACCTAGCAGGTTACTTTGTCATAGAAGGTGATCAGGCTTATGAAGCACGATGTACCCTTGGTGAATCCATGCTAGCTTTTCCCAATTCCATGCTTCATTTTACTTCTCATAGCCCCCAGAAAGATTTGTTCAATAACTTTCCCAGGGACTGAAGACTTATTGCACAAGGATCTACACGATGAATTAGTTTTTAAGTAGTTAACATCAGACACGCCTCAGACAATAGTTTTTGTTGCTGGTTTTTGGTCTTGGGTGGGGTGTTTTGGTTTTGGGGCTTTTTTACATAATTTCTGAAAAGAAAATTTACGTTTACAAATCTCTAGCATAAAAACACTGATCAGATATAATGGCTTCATCATTCTTCTTTTCATTAGTATATGTTCAAGTGATCAGTGCTTTTTCTATAATTTCTCATGTTCAAGCTGAATGTATGTTTAAATGTGTTGAATTTTTTGTTAGTTTAATAAAACATCCTGAGTTGGAAGGGACCCACAAGGATCATCAAAGTTCAACTCCTGGTCCTGCACAGGGCAACCCCAAGAATCACACTATCTGCCTGACAGCACTGTCCAAACGTTTCTTGAACTCTGGCAGGCTTGGTGCTGTGACCACTTCCCTGGGGAGCACATTCCAGTGCCTGACTACCCTCTGGCTGAAGAGCCTTTTCCTAATATCTAACATAAACCTCCCCTGACACGGCTTCATGCTGTTCCCTTGGGTCATAGAATCATAGAATCAACCT